CTCATTTCTAATTATGTCCATCCTGGTCACTCCCAATGAAAGTATTAACATTACATTACATTACAAGTTGGGCTCCAAACCAAACAAGTACTGAAAGACTAACAAAAATTCTTTAGCTGCCTGAAAATTAGACATGCCACGTTAAAGAACACTCGCTATTTGTTATCAAGTTGTAGATAGAAGTCAGTTCAAGCACTTACAAACATTTACTTATAACTTTGTGAGCATTACACTACAGTACAAATGAACTTCCTGTCAACATGTTTTGGCTATAAAACTGACACAATTTGAATATTTCATTTATCAGTGACAAAATGCTTGCTACAGGGATGTCAGGATCTCTGTGTTCTCATTCTGAACCCTGCTGGTGTCCAACATCTGTGTCTACTTTTGCCTCCTCAAACCATTTTCTTTTCTTCCTTTAGCTCCTGATAAACGCTGAGCTCTGGGCTCCTTATCCTATCAGCAGACTCGAGAAGGAGTCACCTTCACACAAAATACATTTAATACAAAGCAAATGAATTGGTTTTCCTCCCGGAGGGGAGGGGATTTAACTGGACTCTGCCTCATATCATTTGAATGAAAGTCAGTTTTGGGGTCGCTGCAAGTCCCACACTAAAATGTCTGGTTTAGTAAAGTGGGAACATAACTACCAGAGAAACAGAAAGATAAAAGCACAGGGAATATTGTTCAGAAACATACCTGTCCCACTGCGGAGGGCGTTGGTCTGAGCCTCTACGACTGCCTGGCTCAGCTTAGCCAGGCCTCGCATTAGCAACATCATATCACCTGCCATGATGGACTACAAACAGAAGACAGAAAGACAACAAAACAGAGAAAAATGTGGGGTGAATGTCATCCTTCGATTCCCCTGGAAGCTCCGATACAAAGCAGTCGGAGATTTTAACGTGTCAGTTCACCTCTTCAGGGAAGATAAAAAAGACCATAGAAACAAAGAAGGCAAATGGAAAGAAATAAAACCCGTTGTCGAGTCACTGCCAACAGAAACACTCACAAACATACACAGCTGTCACATCTTGAGAGGACTTTAATACTCTGTCTAAAAATACCCATGACCTCCGATCCCTGTTTGGGCACACGGAGGCACAAGAAAGGGAAGTCGAATGCTTGTAAGCTGTGAATATGCGTGCATGTGGTCCAGGGCTGCATCTGAAAATGTCACTGGAAACAAAACGGGAGGAGAGCAAGGGATAAATCTTTCAGCTATTTCTGTGCACGTGTTGAGTTCATGCTCGAGGCTCACCGTCATATTTTATGCCGAGCGACGGCACGACGAGGCTGGTTTTCTATGAATCTAAATATGTCGCATCTTCCTTTCAGGAAACAACCTGGTTATCTTTACAGGCCGTTACAGCTGTTGCTATTAAAATGCGATGACAACGCTTGAAAGCAAATCTCAAGTTTGAGTTAAGACACGAATAAAACTTGGGTTTGTTTCAGGCTTATCTAAACAACAGAGCCACCGCTGCATTCCTGCCTCTTACAGCTTGCTGCCTGTTTTTGTTACAATATTACAGGTGCTGCTTTGTGGGTGTGACAACAGGCTGCAAAACAGCTCGGCGAGGATTTGGGCCTGTGGAGAAAGCTGCTGGGGCTGTGGCTGAAGGAATCTACGCAATATATCAATAAGCGTGTATGTGAAGCAGTGCACATACATCGCCTGAGTCAGAAGTGGGTCATCCATCCTCCTTCAGGGCTGCTCTGTTTTCAGATGGTGGATACTTTGTGACACAAGGCACCAAGAGGAAGGGGAAGAAATGAAGAGTTTGTGGAAAGACGTGATAGGATTTATTCGTTTTTTTTAGATTAGTAATATTTGCACTGGAATAATCATGCTTGAGAAATCTGAATGCTCATTTTCCTTCACAGTGCTTAAGATTAAGTTTAAAGATTACGTTTGAAAGTTAAAATAGCTATAAAGGGTACAACTATTTCATCTCGTTTTTAAGGTCATTTCAGTCTTTGATTTTATAGAAATACAACGCTCTCTTTTCAATTACAAAGCTGTGCCATCTTAAACTTAACTTCCCACAATGTGCCTCTTCCAAGATCTCTTACTTGTTTATTTAGACCTAAATCTGTAAAAGAAAATCTCCTACTGTACTTAGATTCCATGGTTATAAAATCAAGATTCAGAAACACTTCAGGGGTTTTTTCTGGCTTAGAATGTGCCCTGGTCCACATTCATTATAGTGCCGTTGATTTTTCTTTGGCTGTGACTAAGATGTAATTTTATTGCCAAATCTAATCGGCTGAGCAACTTCCCATTTGCCAGAGTCGGTGTGTGGCCTGTGTGTGTGGGCCCCGAGCCCTCATCTCCAGAGGAGGGAAACTGAAAGGTATGATTTTGGTAACAGCACACTGACTGTGTGGCAAATATGCACACCTAAGCCGCAGCTGTTGTCTGCTGCTCAAGCTGTTGTCTCACCGTTATGGAAATAGCCCAAACAGTGTTAGTCAGCGTCTGAATCCTGCTCAGTCCACCTCATGGCTTCCTGACAGTCTACCATCACTTGCCCTTGACAAGCGTTCCTGAGCCAAGAGTGGGAAATGTTTCCCGTTATCTTTGCAGTGGCGTCACCACTGTTTATGCAGGAAACGTGAATAAACTCACGTCGCCCTGCGAGACTCCTGGAAAAGAAGAGCCTCTCCCATTTTAATAAACTGCACAATCAAAGGCAGTTCCTGTATTAAAAAATAATGCAATCACAGCCAGTTGTTACACTTTTATCTGTTAGCACTTCATAGAGGCTTAGATTGACCTACCTCACTTTTATGTGTACATAATCTGACATGGTAAAATGGGAAAGCATGCTTCTCTATTTTATTAGATTTTTGGCCAGATTAATGCTATTAGTTATATCACAAGAGACTATGACACACATTATAATATATAACAGCTAAAACTTTAAACAATAATATAACATCGAGGTGATGATGGGTACTGGGACTGACATTAAAAAAAAAAAAAACTTCTCAAAAATTATAATCATCTATAGTAATAGATGTGTTATATGTTTTTAGAGTGTTTGATTCTTGAAACGATTGCTCTAAAATGTTGTGCAGATATGAAAGTTGCACAACTACTACAGGAAACTATTAACAATAGTTTCAGTTAAAGGTTAACCGAAACGAAAACACGTACACGAGTGTCAACAATTGACTTCCGTTTATGCCAAATAAGCGACATTTTATTTTTCCCGCAGTACCTGAAATAAACATATGCTAGTCACTAGGTGCACGCTCTTCCAAAAACGTATAAATTTGGAATTAAGCTTTAACACACGTTTTAACAGCGTAACGAGACACTACAGCCTCTCTTCTTTCATGCAAGGGCACAACAAACGACAGTTGTCCTTTTAAAACTCATCCTAACTCACTTCCTCGTAGGCGAGCGTGCACGAGACTTCATAACAGCAAACTCGTGCCACGTTAAGGAGTTAAAACTAGCATTACGGCTGCTGCGAATAGCCTGAGCGGATTTCCAAATGTCCCGAATAAATTAGCGCTCGGTCTGCAGCTTGACAAAGTTTGTACAAGTACGGGGCAGCCATGGTCATGGCAGGCACGTCAGCACGCCGCTGCGCAGGATTTTTCACGTTCAGCTGGTTTGAGGCTGAAGCGACGAGAAGCGGACGAGGCCAACAAAAATATACTTGACTGCGTACATAATAATTAGCAGCTAATGCACGATAGGTACTCACCAGCAGCTGTCGTGTGGGCTCTTTGCTGGTTTCCCCAAGTCTTATCAGATAAGGTGGCCCGCCTGAGGAGAGTCAAAGCAGCCGATGTGTATTTGAGCTGCAGCAGCACTTTCCCGAGGATACTCTTTATCTGGGGAAACGGTGTGCTAACAGCAGGAGCTAAAGGTTATTTACTAGCCGCCCTCCTCCTCCTGCTGCTACTGCTGGTAGCGTTTAATCCAGTTTGTCTCCACTCCCCCTCTCTCTCCACCATGAGGTCAAACCATATTTACCAACTTCTCAACACCAAGAACGGCGCGATGACGTAACCGGCTCGTGTGTCGTGCAGCGATAATGAGGAACGCACACACTAAGTCGAAATTTACCACATACAAGAAGGACGCACCAGAGTCCTTCTAGACTTTGGGGGGCTGGAGGGGCGGGACATGTACAACCACCATGTTTATTTTTCGGGGGTCTTCCTGCTTTATTATCATAAGCTATGTACTAAAGCTAAATTGACATAACTTTAGCTTTGCAAGACTCTGGTTTTTCTCCTCCCTCGCTCCGTCCCGCTCTCTGCTCCTATTGGTCCTCCGTCGTCTGTTGACAACACAAGCAACGGTTGTTTGACGGGAGGCGGAGTTTAAAGGCGCGTGTTGATTGGTTTATCGCGGAGAAAAACAAAGTCATGGTTAGATGTGACCACCGCCTGATTTGTAGCTGAGTTTACTGATAACAAGTTTAACTTTTACAAGGCGGGGTGGCGGCGTGGATAAAAGACAAATTCCACAAAGGTGTCAGCTATATAAACAAAAATACAGCCCTCGATGGTGAAATGGGCCTGTGCTTCCCTCTACTGTTGGTAAGAGGACGGTACCTTACTGGAGCGGCCATGTTTAATTAAATTAAAAATGTTCTGATTGGACCATTACATTGAAATGTCTAGCAGAAGAAAATAACTTCGAAGCAGTCTTTACTCAAAACAACAATAACGACACAAACCCAAACAAAAACATGTACACGCACGTTTCTTTTTCAGTTACAGGGATGTTATTGTTTCCCCTGCAGTTTCGATATTGGGACAGCAGAGGGCACCGCAGAGCTACACAGCTCGTGTGACTGTAAAGGTTTTATAAGTTGTAACCACTTTCCTAGACTCAATAAATTCACTTGTCCTCTATAGTGAACATATGATATATGAGACCAGGATGTAGACAAATTAAATTTTCCATCTTGCATTCCAGTGCGGAATATGGGAAATAAGCTTGCTGTGAAACTCAAGCCAGATTTTATGACAGATACACAACAAATGCAAGGAAAGAATTTGATGTCCCAGAAGTTTTGAAAGAATTGAAAAAAGAAGACTCACAGAGGCTTATCTTTTTCACCCCTAACCTTAATAAAAGTGGAAGGGGGGAAACCCCCACATCAACCTCTCTCTGTTCAGAAGGTCCCATGAATCATTGCCTTTCTTTCCCACCAGCTCCAGACGTGGCTGCTGTTGTGGACAGGTGTGATTTGAATGGCAAATTACCCTCATGCAAACACAACAATTAATGTGGTCAAAGAGAACCAGCAGCTT